ACTGAATACCTTGAGACCAAGTTAAAGTATTGCAACAGTGCTGATGCATGGAGTCACAATATACAGTAGGTATTATGTGTAATGTATAATCTATTCATGGGTCAATTTGTCATTATTACTGGTACCTTCATGCAGACTCTCTCAGTGGTTTCATCTTGAAATCACTTCTTGGTCTTGCCTTCATATATCTCCTCCTATATGTGTCTGCGTAAGTGCAGCTGCAGAGTGTGCGCTCAGGACATACTTACCTGCAGTGTACCCTCAGCACAGAGCCAATTAGGCAAAAGGGCCTTCTCCTACTCCGCTCCTGTAACCTGGAACGTCTTGCAAAAAGATCTTAAGTTGTCGACTTTGACCACACCAAGGGATTTTAAACATCTGTTAAGTTCAAGGCAAAAACCAACACAGACATGTTCCTGTTTTTAGCATTTTACACCGTTTTATAATGTAGCCGGGTTTTTTTTAACATCATTGCTTCCATTTAGTTTTTCATTTTACATGCTTTTTTATAGATTTGTCTATTGCTGTCCTCATCTGTGTTCTTTGTTAAAAACTGGTCTCTCTTGTAAATGAGTCCTCGTGGCTCATTGAGGCTAACCTGTGTAAGCAAAGGTTGAATGAATACAGTCAGTCATATGCAGAAATATAGACAATTATAAAGGCTTCAGACTTTCAAGCACCATTGTAGTATGGTAGGATGACAGCTAATACAGTATTGGTCTTTTCCAACGGTCTTGACTCGGCCCTACTTGGTTTTATTTGGGATTAACAGAGTCTCTATTCTGAGTCTGAATTTAGCCTACTTGGACTCAATGTGCCACACTTCTGCTGGGATGCAGATGAAGCTCTGTCAGAGTTGAAGATCCTGACGAGTTCTTCTGCCAGGCGTCACCAGTAAACCCACACAATACATTAGGTCTGTTGGATCTGTCTGGCATCTCCCCCCACATCATCTGATTTAACTCAACCAGGCAGAGATCCGACAGCTCAGCTCCTTTTTTCACCAGTGTCCAAAAATCTTGTGTGTGTACTCCATGTGATGAAATCTAAGCACTGTGGACTCATGGTTTCTTTCTATACATCTTAGAAAATAATAAATGATAAAGACAAAAACAGACGGGTTGGTTGGATATTTATGATTGTGATAACGTTTCTTTTTTTTTTTTAAGGCAGAAACCTTCATTTACTTTGACTTTTATTAATCATTTTATCAGATCTTGTTTGGTGTAATCAGTAGAACTTGTCATATATTTCTATTGTCTTGCTATCATGGTTATAATTTTTTTTAAATTCCTTTCTGATAGTTTTGGTCAAAGCTCCAGAGCCACGTGGCTGCACACCCAACACAGACGTTTCTTCATGTTGAGAAAAAGATGCTGATTATTTCAAGGCCTTTCTAACATGTTGGAAAATTTTATGTTTAAGGCAAGATATAATTTACCATTTTGTAGGATACATATTTTGTGTAAATGTATTTTGAAATGTACTTGTGCAAAACTATTAAAACTTCATGTTTCTTCTCATTTTGCTTTCATCAAGTCATCAGACATCCTTACAATGTTTCTGATGATCTTTCAAAGATTTTCAAGAGATATTTGCTGCCTTTTCACCACAAATCAGACCATCATCTGACCATTGTCAGATACGTGTGTTGCCTCCATCTCTGACATGTTCATTATTCAAGCTCCCAAAAAATTAAAGCTTCTAAACTCAGGGGAGGACGGACCGATAACACATTAAACACAACTTAGCCAAAGAAAAAAGATCTTTAGGTACTTTGTCATGAGCAACCTTTCATATTTTTTAAAAACTTAATCTATTAAAAAAATACCACATATATAAGTTTGACAAATGTATTTTAGCACCATCACAGTGATTTTTCCAAAGCACCATTAGCTGAAAAGCATAAATCAATTTAAATCCTGTTACTTTTGCTTTTTCTTAAAGACATGATCCTTAAATGTAAACTGTTTTATTATTCTGGTTAAGATTCTCAGTCATCCAGGACATGATGAATTCAAAAAACGTTCAATACAAAAACAACTGGACTTTATTTGTAACAGAAGACGTTTCGCTCCTCATCCGAGGAGCTTTCTCAATTCAAAGAGCAGTGAGTGAGGGGTTCAGGTTATAAGGCTGAGCGAGATAAGATACACACACATATGTAGATTTGGCAATTCACACCTCACACCTTAACAGTAGGGGTTTCTTAAGGTCTTTGTTCCTCTAATTCACAGATGAGGCCCCTCTGTTCCCATCAGGTGTGAAAACTGGCTGGGAATCAGTCTTAAAGTTGCTTTATAGGTTTTTGAAAGTGGAAATCTGCGGCCTCCTCCTCTGTTAAGGGATGGTTTTTCTCTTAACATAAATTGCTTCCAGTTTTTACCAACAGAAGCACGGCTGTGCCACGGGATCTCCAGTGTCACCCATTGTTGCCAATCAATGGAGGAAGTGGAACAGTGAGCCCTAAACTCCTATGAGGGAACAACGCCAAGCCATTGGTTCAGATATGTGGATGACACCTGGGTCAAAATCCAAGCTAAGGAAATAGAAGCGTTCACCAGACACATTAACTCGGTCAATAACATCAAGTTCACCATTGAGGATGCAAACGACAACAAGCTGCCTATTTTGGACTGTTTGGTTCAGATGGAAAGAGAGGACAGCCTCAACATTGAAGTTTACAGAAAACCAACACACACAGACCAGTATCTTCTGTTTGACTCCCACCATCCACTGGAACACAAACTCTCTGTCATCAGAACTTTACAGCATCGGGTCGAACGCGTCCCCACAAGGACAGAAGGGAAGGAAAAGGAACAGAAACACATTCAAGAAGCTCTTCAAACATGTGGATATCCTAACTGGGCTTTTGTCAAGTCAGCAAGGAAATCTACAAAACACACCAATAAACAGAAAAAGGACAACAACAGACGGAAAAACATCGTCATCCCTTATGTTGCTGGAGTATCAGAGAAATTCAGAAGGATCTTCAACAAACACAAGATCCCAGTATATTTCAAACCCAGCAGGACTCTCAGACAGAGGCTGGTCCATCCTAAGGACAAAACACCCAAACACAAACAGAGTGGTGTAGTGTATGTGGTCCAGTGCAGCGAGGACTGTCCAGACCTCTACATTGGAGAAACTAAACAGCCTCTTCACAGACGCATGGCTCAACACAGGAGAGCCACCTCCTCTGGACAAGATTCAGCTGTTCACCTCCACTTCACAGATAAGGGACACTCTTTTGAGGATGTTGCACATTTTGGACCGAGAACACAGATGGTTTGAGAGGGGGGTGAAGGAAGCAATTTATGTAAAAAGAGAAAAAACATCTCTTAACAGAGGAGGCCTCAGATTTCCACTTTCAAAAACCTATAATGAAACTTTAAGACCGATTCCCAGCCAGTTTTCACACCTGATGGGAACAGAGGGGCCTCGTCTGTGAATTAAACGAAGACCTTAAGAAACCCCTACAGTTAAGGTGTGAATTGTCAATCTACATATGTGTGTGTATCTTATCTCACTCAGCCTTATAACCTGAACCCCTCACTCTCTGCTCTTTGAATTGAGAAAGCTCCTCGGATGAGGAGCGAAACGTCTTCTGTTACAAATAAAGTCCAGTTGTTTTTGTATTGAACATTTTTTTGAAACCATTTTATTATTAATACTCCCAATCAGTCAGAATATATATTTTTTTTAAGATATGACCATGTGATGGACTTGCGACCTGTCCAGGGTGTACCCCGCCTCTTGCACAGTGATTGCTGGACATGGGCACCAGCGACCCCCGTGACCCAAAATGGAAGAAGTGGGTAAAGATAATGGATGGATGGAATGATACACTAATAGATTTATTTTGTACCCTCGTCAGAATAATCCGTTTGTAATTGAGAGTACAAAGACATGTACAACCGTGATAATTATTTGGTATGTTGGATTTTGTTTTTTGAAGGGTTTATTTGTAAAAACAACCTCCCCCTAAATAATTCACCATTTTTCTGTACCTGCAAAACATCTGTGGGAAAGAAGTGATGAGAGCCCTGAAAAGCGGTCTTCAAAACAGAGGCCAATCAAGAAATTTTTGTATAAACTGACATTTTTTTTGTTAGAAAAGGCTAATAATTATGTAAAATATCAAATTAAACAAAAATGTTTTGACATAGAAAAAAGCCTGTATTTGTCTTATTTCAATAAGTCTGAACACTTTAGGATGTTCAGTTCAGAAATTGCTTAAAAATGGATTTTTGTGTCTTGAACAAAAAGATGGTCATAAGCACAGAAATCATAAATTTGGTTCGAGGTCAGTAAGCACAACTAAAATTAATGCATATAAGGAACACCCGATTATAAGGCTCACTGTCAAATTTTGAGAAAATTAAAGGATTTGAAGTGTGCCTTATAGTCTGAAAAATACGGTACTCCGAGGAAATTAGTGTCCAGAGTAAATACGTTTGGAGTTTCCTCATTTAAAAAGAACACAAGGTTAAAACAAACTTCTACTTCTTTTCCTACAGTTCTGAAGGTAAAATTCTGACTCAAGGGATTACTTATAAGCTTTTGTTGCCTCAAAATATACCAAATTCTAATGTATTTCACAACCAATAAATGGCAGCCATACCATCCACTCAACGACTGTCTCATTTATTAGATGTAGAGATCCATCAGGTATTTATGATTTTCTCAGTGGGGTTTCCACCTGTTCAAGATCCAACTTTGAATAATTACTAATAATCACAAAAAGATTTGAAAATACCTTTACCAAACTGACGCACTGGGCATATCATTGACATTGTTTCAAAGATTTAAAAAGTACCTAAAATACTTACATTTTGCCAGTTAAAAAAAAAAATCTGAGAAAATAAATGTACCCACCATGAAAATATGGGAAATGTATAAAGACTAAAGAAACCTTATGTGAAGAGCATAAACTGATTTAATTTTGTGGCTAATATTTAGTTTTTATTTAATGATCCATGAAGGATTTTTGTAGTTTTGGCGCTGAAAAGGCTAAAACGTTTTATTTAAGCCATGGCAGCTGAGCTGAAAAATAAAAAGTGCACCATAAATCAGTTCAATCTAAAACACTGCATGTTTAAATCTTTTCCATAAGCGCATCATTTTTTATGGGGGTGTGTGTGTGTGAGGTTTTTAAAACGCACCTATGAATTTAACTTCACGTTCTGCATCAAACCCAAAGGCTCCTCCGTCAAACGGTTTTTAAAACCACCGTGATGTTTTTTTCTCCAATAAATTGTATCTGAACAGGAAATGTCGGGTAAACGAACAGGAAACTTCACTTCCTCTGGTGTGGATTTACAGCATCCCATCCGACGGATCAAAAATTATGTTTAAGATTGCAACAAATCACCAAACTCGTCTTGTCCGAGCTTTTTTTTCTTCCATGCGTATAATGTAGAGCTCCTGATCAAAAAGTTGACCCATATTTGAACAAATGACGACAAGAGCACTGAGACGAGAGAGATGGTTAAACTGTCCAGGCTTCACTGCTGCACAAACTTCATTTATTTTTTGGTCTTTTTTTAACTAAAAGATGTTTTATGAAACAAGTAAGGTTTTGCATCTGTCACCTCCTGTGCAACCTTTTAAATATTCTGCAGATGTCAGAGCAAGAAAACAAAACACAACTTCAGTTGAAAGGATTTTAAGTTATAGCAATACGCACACTATCAAGTGTACAATTTGTCAAGGTTCATTTGATTCTAATAAAATACTTTTTTTTAAACCCATATACATTTCATATATTTATCTTTTGGGGTATATGGATCCAAAAATAGACATTTAAATCATAAAGGGAGAATGTGAAGGGAAGAAGAAAAAAATTAAAAATACAAAAGCTACACATGGTTGTCCTCCATTTCTGAGGAGGAAGAGCAACCAACAAAAAATGGCGCCATAGAGAGACAGGAGGAGGGTTAAAGAAAGAGAAGCAGCGAGGGTGGCGTGGGGTTAGGAGGGGATTGGCCAAGCTATACAGCGCAGTATGACACCCACTTTAGCTCATTACACACGTACAGTCGTGATCAAGGCACAGGGATCTTCTAAAAGTTATTTTTTTCAATAAAGTTGTACAAAATAATACATTTTACAGTCTGTACAAGAATAATAGTTCAGCAGTAAAGTAAAGACAGACAAAGGAGCAAGAGGCCAAAGGGGGAGGGAATGATGGGGGAGCTGTGGGCAGGTTGCTTAACCACATGAATGCCAAAAAAAAAAAAAAAAAAAAAAAAAAAAAAAGGGAAAGGAGTTCTGGTTGCGGTCTCTTTTCCTCCATTGTTCAGGACGATTATGTTCAATTTTCTCTTGAAACAAACAAACACTTCCAGGAAAGTGCAAATGGAAAGTAGTGAAGGGAGGAGATAACGGGAGGTGGGGATGAAGCAAAAATAGATGAAAAAAAAAAAGAGGTGACCGATAGTAAAGAAAGAGCGCACGGCACAATGGCACAAAAGTCTACACAGACAAAAACAGCTGTGGAGACAGTAGAACATGAGCGATCTCATTAACTTATATGGTACTGTACTGTAGAAGGATGCTTGTTGCACTCCATTTAAATTCCATAAAAGTTGGCTTTTTTTTGTGTTTTTTTTTTTTTTGTCTTAAATTCAATATATCCTCCGCACATTTTGCTCCACAATCAACAAGGCAGAGTCAGGAGGCAAAACAGTTCTGTGGGGAAGTCGTCGTCGATGCCGTCCTGTAGTCCGAGCCCTGATCACCGCCCCCCGTGGTCCGTTTCAGATTGTGGCGATGCCGACGCCTCGTGGGACTCGATTAGTTCAATCCCCCAAGTCCTGTTTGAGATAAATCAATCGGCACATTGGCAAACATGTCAGAAGCTCCCCAAACCCATCCAGTTCTGCCGTCCCGTAAGAAGCAGGTGTGATACGTTAGATTTAAAGATGTCTGTGAGCCATCGGAAGGTTTGGTGTACACGGGTCAAGTCCTGAGCACAGTGCTTGTTTTGTTTGATGCAGTCTTCAGCTGCGACGCGTGACTTCTCCATTTGCAGTAATTCAAGAGTTATCCGTTATTCCCCCTCCAGTTGCGCTGACGTTTTAGCTCTCTTGGTTTTCATTTTCGTCAACAAAATCACACCTGTAGGAAACTCAGCGCAGACTGGACCGCTGAAAGAGCGGCAACGTGTGGAGGACAATATATGACACTAAAAGGTGAGGTTGAGTCGCTTGATTTTTTTTGTTGTAGCTCCTGAAACCCCGTCATCTAAATAGCTCTTACTACATCAGGTAGGGAGTTTGCATCGGGGGTAGTTCTGGGCTCAGGGTGTTTACTGCAAGTGTGTGTGTGTGTGTGTGTGTGTGTGTACTTTGGCCTTATTTCTGTCTCAGGCGCTCACACACATCTGCGGAATAGGGGAGTTCAGAGACTCGGCATTCAGTATTTTTTATTCATTTATTTTTTGTAGTCTGATCTTATTTGTTTGTGTGTTTTTGGCGAACAGCGGCTCGTTCCCATCACAACAACTCGTACTGACGCAGGTGCATCCGCTGAATGATGTCTCGACAGTCGTTGAAGACGCGGCGGATGTTTTCCGTGTCGACGGCGCAGGTAAAGTGGGGGTAACAGTAGTGCCTCCCGTCCCCGCTGGCTGTGCTGATCCTCTGCAAAAAGGAGAGAAAAATAAACAAGTTTCCTTAGTACAAAAAACAAAAATACCAACAATGGCACCAACTGACATCAAGTCTGACAACAATATTAATATTTTATCATGCCCTGTGCAGTTAGGCAAAATAAATTTTTTATTAACCAACAACATATAAAAAAGTAGTACGTACCAAGAATTCATCTCTTATGAAGTACTTTGCCCTTGTTACTTGAGGATCTTCCCCAAATTCTGGTGAAGCTGCCAGATCAGAAGAGACAAATGAGACCAAGCTTCTTATGATTTACAATAAGGAAATAATGTCAGAATGAATCATCATCACCATCGCATGAGAGCAGACATACAGGAGTGTGAAAGGGACGACTTCTTACAGCTAATGCCACCCAGTTTTTTTTCCTCCTAGTTAATTATTTCAGTATTTTTGTGCTTCCAAGAGCTTCACTGGGAAGAAACTTGAGTTAAATCAAAGACATTGCTTCATTTCTCAATTTATACCCATTAAATCACACACTTCCAAGAAAAATGAGTTCTGAAGGCAGGATGCCGTCTTTAAAATTGTTGTGCAATTTTCTGAAATAAAGCAGCTATCACAGGACAGTTAAGTGACCTGCATATTCCATCCCAAGTGCCAAAATCAGCTCTTATTGTTGCAGCTGCGTGACAAAAATTGTGTCAATTTGTTCGCAGAGCAGCTTCGCCCGCCCCTTCGACACAAGGCCCGGGCTGAATCACAGGTGTACGCGCCGAGTATTGTGCGATTGGTCAGAAGTTTGTGGGCGTGTTCGTCAATGCAGAAATGCGCTCGGACATTTGGCTGCAGGACTAAACAAAAAAAAACCTCCAGGATGGAGATCGTGCAGACATCGTGCACGGAGGAGTCCGTCTGTTAAAAAGTGCGGCACTTTCATGACAGATTCGTGGCCAAACGGTGGATGCAGGGACAGAGCGGAGACTCCGACAGGAAGAACCCCCCGTGGTGACGTATACTGCAGAGGGAGGGGTTTCCCAGATCTACGCCGGTGTCTCGTGGACTATGAAAGGTGTGTGCAAAAACGAACGTCCAGCAAGCAGGTGACCGCGAGTCAACTGTTCAGCTACAGATGGAGTATGTCGGGCCCTTAAGTCAAAATTCCTACAACTTTGTTTTATAATTCCCGACTTGTTCAGACTCAAATTACCAAAATATTATAGATAATTAAAAAAAATCAATTTAATGCCCAAGTTTATTTTATCCGTCCTGCAGACTGTACACAAAAAATTACATGAAGTGAAACTTCATAAAAAAGGAAAAACATTTTTTGGTGATAAAGAGTTAAAAACATAGAGCAGCGTTTGTTTTCAGGATACAGAAACTTGTAACTCACCAGTTGCACACACTAACCACAACATATTGCAAATGTTTGCATTTTCAAACCACCTTTAAGTTTTGTGAGGTTCACAGCGTATGTTACAATATAAACAATCACTACGACCGTAAAGAACCGTGCAAACATTTTGAGAGAAAACTTGATGCTTTGTACTTTCATTCCAAATAACCAGATTTTGGAAGCAAAGTTAAATAAAATATGGGTTGGTTTAAAACTTCTGCACAGTACTTTCGTCTATGTCATAGATCTAATAAAGCTGGAAAGCAATCTGTTGCTTGTAGGGATGCACAATATTATCGGCATGGTACTGGTATATTTACATCGTCCCCAGTCAGAGATATTTTTCTGACGTAGCCTTACCAGAGTTACAAGCCGTCATTTCCGACGTCATTGAGAAGCTAATAGCCGATAGCACTTGGGTGAGTTTCACCACGGACATTTGAACGTCAAGTGTTAGCCCCGTTAGCATGATTAGTCTTATGGCACAATGGATGGACAAAAACTTTGAACTTAACAGGCTGTCCTTCATGCACAGGAGTGCAGAGGATCCCACGCTGCAGCTGAACCTGAACAAGCCTCCACAAGTGAGACAGCATCACAGGTGACTAATGCTAATAAATAACATTTAGCACTTTTCATTTTATGTAAGTCAAAGTGCTATCATATGGCTGTTACTGAATATATGTCACCAGCTCTTACAGCTGTTGCACAATTTTTGTAGCAAATAAGCCTAAATAAGAGGGCTATGTTCCGACAAAGGAACATATATAAAATATTGGTATTGGCATCGGTTATCGGCCAAATAAGATGTAACATATCGGCATATTGGCCAAAAATCCAATATCATGCTTCCCTAGTTGTTTGAGCTGGGTTTTTTTTTTGTTTCAGAAAAAAGTATAGGAAACAAAAATATTTTTCTGGCTATTTCCCCCACAACCATATTTTTTAAGGCCTGGAAAATACTAAAGAGCCCAGATTTAGACAAAAGCCTGGCAAATGGACCTTTATAAAGAGCAATACTAGAACTCAGTACCATCAGATACTGACTTTTGGACTTACTGCTGACAAAAGTTTGAACAATCAGAGCACACAGCAACGGATACTTCCAAACAATATTACGTACACCACTTGGAGAGCCATTCACGTTTCCACAGTTTGATTTATCTGTGCCAACAATTTGGGTGAAGTTTGTTGCAGGTCAAAGTAAAATACAGGAATTGATGTATTTTTATAAACTGAATAAAACGGAAAGAAACAATGTTCATACGCTCAATGATAAAATAAAAGTCTTGCGCTTTACACATGTTGTAAATTTTATATTTAAAAGGTTAGAGAGCCTGTGCATAGATAAAAGTGCTCACCATCGTCTGGTGTGGTGTAACGGGCAAATTCAGGGAAGTATTCCTCAATTTTGGATTTCCCTGCTATCACTTTATCTGCAAGCAGGTCCTGTTTGTTTAGGAACAAGATGACGGAGATGGTCCTCAGCCACCTAGAAAACAAAAACAAAACATTTTGAATTAAAAATCACATTCAAGCATCAAACTGTGCCTGAATGTCCGACACCGTATGTAACTATTCCTCTATCTCCCTTCACCTGTTGTTCCAGATGTTCTTGAAGAGGTTGAGAGCCTCCTGTAAACGGTTGGTCTGATTGTCCTCTCGGATCACCATGTTGTAACTGCTACTGGCCACCACGAAGATGATGGCTGTTACATCTGAGGACAAGGGAGTGAAAGCCGTCAGATTGATAACCACACGAGCTGAGTGAAGTGAGAGGAAGAAGAACAAACAAAGTTACCGTTAAAGCACTGAATCCATTTCCGGCGTTCATCTCTCTGTCCACCAACATCAAACATACTGTGTAGGAGAGACGCTGGTGTAAATGTATGCAATACTGCCATCATCTGGATTCATTCATCATTTCTCCAAGAATCAATTCACTTATGTTTGTATTTTAAGCCAGCAGGCCATTAAAAAAAAATCTGCACGAAAACAATTTATTTTCCTTTCATTACTTACTGGAAATTAACTTTGTCTACTTGGAATCTTGTCTCAAAGATCCCTGAAGTGAGAACTCTGCAGCGAAGCAAATCCTGTGAAAATGACAGTTTGAGATTAGGATCTAACATCAAGTAAAATATTGATGTTAACGCTTAAATATGGGCTAATTTTTTCAATACAGTCACATCGAGGTTCACTTCTTGTGGCTTCACTTTATTGCAGGTTTGTTTAAACACTTTTTTTACATTGTGTGTACTGTACATGCTGTACATTCATCTCAATGTCATCTCCTTCCTCACCAAAGTGTTTAAGAGCATATGAAGAGTTTATAAGAGTGGGAATGCCATGATCCATGCCTGTCTGTTCTCCACACCCACCTGCTCTGCTGTGATCAGCATAATTCTTCTCACCTGGTGGTCGTAGCATTTAAGCGCTCCCGTTCTCTATCCGTGTCAAATTATTGAAAGCCTTGCACGAGTAAATGTCCAGCGATTGTCTCCGGCTCCTGACTGATCCACACATCCTGAACAAGTTTCTGTGCCCTGGATTTTCCTGGTTCGTCTAGCCCCTGTTGGACACCTGCCAAGCTTCTGATTTCTGGACATCAACCTTTGGACACCAACCTCCAAGTTTTGACTGAACCTCACATAGTAGTTTGAAGCCCATCTCCATGTATGACCCTTACCTGTTCTCTGACTAACCCACTGAGCTCTGGACAGATCCAAACTAAGCAGCAACCCCACCACTACACTCTCCATCCGCCCCAATCCTCTACCTGCGGACTTGAGTTTAACCACTGGATCAAGTCCCCCCATCTGAGATCTAAAAGAAGATTCAAGTTTTTTCTCTAGCTCCGTTCAAGCTCCCAGTCCTTCCACAGCCATCTACTCATCCTCTTCCTCCTTAGACTTTCTAATGCGTTTCCACAGACACGTGCTTACTCCCACGTCTTTTCAAAATAAAGCGTATTGATCATGCTCCGTGTCTGGTTGAATTTTTGGGTCCTCTGCTAAATTCATTATAGGGAAAAGTTAATAAGAGAGTGGGAAAAGTTTGTAGGAGTGTGGGAAGAGTTTATAAAGCCATATATACATATACATATATACATATATATATATATATACACATATATATATACATATATATATACATATATACATATATATATACATATATACATATATATATACATATATACATATA